AACCAAAGCCTTTGGCTCAAAAGCCTAACCGCAAGGCAGCGGTGTTTGGCGGGAAATGCAAATGCATTACCATTTCTACGGAACAAGTCGCCACATGTTCCAACCCCCAACCTGAAGGGCCAGGGGGCTGTGTTTGCCAGACCCGTAACGATTGACCAACCTGGTATGAGAGACTGTGTGCCATGATAACACTCTCCAGTATAGCTCAATGGATCGCTGAGGTGCGCAAACCGTCACACCATGGCAAGGTCCAGTCTCTTCGTGACTGGCTTCTTCGAATGGCTTTATGATATCGTCCTTTTTATTCACCGAGAGAACAACTTACTTCGTAATGCAAATGTTCCGTCTTGGGGATGCGGAGTGACTATCTGAACCAAAAATGCATCCGTTCGGTTAAGGTTGCCTTCAATGTGGTCTGCCTCAATGAAGAGAACTTCATTTTGAAAGTAATGAAATCCTTAGAAAATTCAAGACACGATAGCTGTACTTTCTATGGTGAGTGCATATTAGCGTCATATATATGTCACAAGCTAAAGTCGTAAGCTACTTATTCAGACTTCGAAAGACAAGTATTCCCCGAATTCAGTCACTTCTCAGTATAGTTTTAGCCGGTCTATCTTTCAAGAGGTTCGGTCGCCACACCAGAGCTTAGCGTGGTAGAGAAAGCCGAGACTTCAAACGTGTTGATTCTCTACAGAAAATTTCCAGATGCTTATCTTATCATCCAGGCCTCTATTGGGAAATTCGCCTGTTCTTGGATTAGCCGAGGCTAGAGTTGAGCCTCAGCGATTTTATTGAAGATCTCCGGTCGTTAGTAAATACCGTGGTTCTACTTTTTTCATTGCTGTTGCAAAAAATGCGCTTCAGCTATTCAAGGTCAGTAATCTATCTTCCCGTAAATGAATTTGTCTTAAAATCGTGCAAAAACACAATAAGAAAGCCTCAGTATCACAAGTGTCCATCCCATGATTAGGAGAGACTGTCTGTTGAAAGGGGCCACTTTAGCTGGTTCTTGTAACGATTCTTCTAGCGATAACGGTTGTTTCACCTTATTTCGCCCCCTATTTATCTTCGGAGGATATGTGATATCGCCTAAATATTCTCACCATCAACTATTTCAAGGTCGTCTGGCGTTAGCCTTATCAATTCAGGAGTGACGATGCTGAACATGCAGCAGCTGACTACGGCCATCACAACAGTCATTAGTTTCATGCTATACGCTCATCATCGTGTTTTTTCTGCTTCTTAGTGCCCATTTAAACGTGATGCAATCTTTTCAGTTCGTGATGTAACATATGCCTACTTCTTGTCCCATCTAAGACGATATCCAGATCCGGCGTCTCTTTCAACATAATCAACCTCCTTCAAGGTTTGGTGGTTTTATTTAATTATTCAGGAAACGTCAAATTCTTTCTGTGGAGGTTCCACGGTGGTTTAAGTTTTTCTGCGGCACACACTACTCCCACTTTCTCTGTTCAGATTTGGCATAAACCACATAATTTTCCTAAACACCTTTTACGTTAAATATGTCTATCAGAATTTGTTCTAGTGCAGTCTTTTTCAACCTTCGCGATCAGACTATCTTCACTATCGTACGCCTTGCGCAAGAATAGTTTCGAAAGTATTTCTGCCGTTTTAGAACTTAAAATACAGGCGGGAATGTTGCACATCCTTGCGAGCAACTTTCGTGGGAAGCTTTTGGCTAGCTCTCCATGCGCCCCCAAATGTTCAGAATTAGGTGAGTACAGTGACTGAAATATGCTCACGAAATGCTGATGCAACCTTCGTTGGGCAACCGTGGTTAGGACAAATTATCAATTGACAAAATTAAACGCAATTTCGGGATGAAGAAGCACTAACATGAAATGGGTGCTCTGAAAATAGGGAGGTTCTCTAGAACCTGGAAAAATGTGGTCGATGCAGCCCATAAGTGGCCGAAATCACACCTTGGTCTCATGCGTCAGGGTTCCACGGACCGGTTTAATCCAACAATGAATTAATGAAGTCAGAGACCCCAGTATGATGGAGAACAGATTAAAACCTCTAGTTTTCATAGTTGCCGATAAGGACAGCTCGTCCCTCTAGGGTAGGCTTGCTCGTCCCATACGGAAGCCAAAGACAAGTACTAACTGCTGGGTTGATCACTCCGCTTAAACAGAAAAGAAGGAAGGTTTTTGGCACCGAAAATGCCGTGAAACTTGAGCGGGGATGCGCACAGATACAGATCGAATGTGAAAGGTTGTTCCATGTCTACAGTCCACGCTTCTGTTACAGACATTTCAAGGGGGTGTGACAGGTCACTAATCAGACTGTTGTCCGAAAAATTCGGCTGAACGGTCCAAACTCCTTTTATTGGATATTAGATAACTGTTGTGGTCCTTAGTGGTTTCACTGACAAGAGGCTTTCAATGGCCTGCTGAACGTATGGAGTTCTAACGCTCCATACATGTTCCATTTCTTCGGTCTTCAGGAACTCCCGGGCTTGTGGTTCTTTGTGGACATTTGGTTTTACTTGGCGTGGCATGATGTATCGGGGCGCATTGTGGTTTCAACAGAATGAAATCTGTAGCCAGACTTCTTACAAGCTCAACAGGCTTGTCGGAGGCCTGAGACTGGGTTTTGGTGCAATTAAAAATTCCGGCATCTCGTACAGCTTTAACTATCTTGCTCCAGTGATTCCTAGCTGACGAGAAGGTAGGCGTTGAAGTCAGCTGTAATAGCCTCTTTGGGTTTTGGGATCCGTGACTTCCCAGTGGCCAGACGAAATGCTGTTTCCCGGAGACCTGGAAAGCGGAATGAAGACAGCAACAAACAAGTATGCGACCGATGTCTACGTAGGCAATCCAGGAGCAGTGACAAGAAGCGACCGATTATGCCACCAAAAGTGGCAGCTTAGGATCAAAATGCGTGAGAAACAGTTTCGAGACGATCAATTCTTAGATATCAAAAGACCGTTGACACTCCGTGGTCCATGTCCATTTGGAATTTTCAGTCAACAGTCGATGAAGCAGGACCCTTGTGCGAAAATACACCGTAACGAGTAACCAGACCCAGGAAATAACGTAAAGTCGGTACGTCGGACAGCGGCGGCCTCGCTTTGATTGCTGCTACGTTGTCAAGATCGGGCTGTAGGCCAGAATGGTCAATAATAAAACCAAGGTATCTGATTTGCGACATGATGGCATGGTACGGCAGAGAAGCATCATTGACAACACTAATGATGGTGACGATACACATTTCAGAGCGGACTCGGAAGCCACATTCACCTTATCCAGCTTGGCATAGAGACCCTGTTCATCTGACCCGGTTAAGATAGTATCACATAAATAAGCCACGGCACCTGGTATATCACTCAACATTGTGCCCCTAAGCTGCTGAAAAATGGTGGAAGCATTCTTCACTCCAAAAGAAAGACATTTGTATTGGGACAGTCGTTTGTGGGCATTAATCGTCAACAGCTGCTTAGATTCGGGTGAGACTGAAACGTGTAGGTAGACATCTGCCAAATCAAGTTTTTTGGAAGCATTTTCCCCAGTTTAGTTTCGTGAATAAATATTGATGTGCTCCGGCGCAGCATTTAATCCTGTTGAGAAATCAGCACACAGCTGGATGGACACATTTGCTTTTCGAACGACAAAAATGGATGCCGACCAAGATGAGTAATTAACCGACTTGATTACACCAGCTGCTTGAAACTTATTCAATTGTTCTACAAGAGTCATTGCTGCATAGGAGATTGGACGTTTCGGCCGGAAAACAGGCTGGGATCCTGGCTTCAGCGATAGAACAGCGGCGAATTTGGTGCACGGACCGAAGCCGTCGGCAAACACGCTCAAGTGCATCTTCCAAAACGAATCAGGCTGTTTTTTTCTATTATATCCGGTGTTGTCGCCTGTGTTTTGTGACAGATATTATTGAGTGGTCTGTCCAAAGGGTTTAGCTTGTCAGTCCAATCTAATCCTAACAAATCCAAAACAGGACGATCGGATACATGACAAACGCTACTTACAATAATATAGTCGGAAGTAATTGAACAAATGAACTCGCCAGAGTTTCAGTAAACTGCCTGATGCACAGCGTGCAACTTGGTTGGTTTCGGTCAATGGTAGGCTGCCAGAACTTTTCTAAGTTTTTTTGAGATGATGATGTCTGAACTCGTGTCAAGCTGGAGACGAACAGGCGTCCCGTTAATATGCACGAATAAATATTTTCTTGGCACACGGGCTCCGATGAGTGGTTAGAATAACGCGCGCCTTTGAAAACTTGGAACTGGAAAATCTGATCGAAAAAGGCGTCCTGGATGCTTGTCTCTTTGTACGGGGACATCTGCTGCAACGGTGTCTTCTAAACGGACAAAAGTCACCACATTTCAAGCATGCTTGGCTTCTTGCCACTACGACGGACAGTAGGCCTCCGAATCACACGAACAGCACTGATGGGATCATTTTCTTTTATCATGGCAACATCATGCTTCAAATTCCTCAGAAGTTGACATTCAGATGTATTGTTCTGTACTTGACATCTGGATTCTGCTAGCTGAAAATTCTTCTTATATCTGCGTCTCTAGGAGACTGCAACCCGCATACAAATATAAGACATCTGAGTTCATCCGCTGTCATACTTCGGAGTTTGAACCGTTTACACACCTTGTTGACTTTATCTGCATAAGTAACCCGGTCTTCAACAGCATTTTTGCTCAAACTCATACAGTTACATCGAAGGCCGAATAAGGAAGTCTGTCCGCCAAATATTGAAGATAGAACGGAAATGGTTTCACCGAAAGTCAGCTCGCTTGAGTTTCTTGGCAGGATGTAGTTTGTAAAACGTTCGTGTTCGACAACTCCGATTTTCCTGACCAGTTGTCTTGCTTTCCAGAAATCTTCTCTGTTTCCCAGACCCACTCCGAACAATTCTTCATGTTTGCTGAAACATGAATCAAAAGTAATACATGCGATCGAATCGAACTGGGATTCAGGAATTGCGTTGAGCATTGTGTTGATCACTGGGGCTCAACAGTCTCGCTGAGCAGCTTGTGCAGTGACAATTTCTGATTCAGCGTCTCGATGAGCTTCGGCTGCGCCAGCTCAAAATGTTGCTGCTGTTTTTTGAGGAGAAACTGCATCCGTTCAAATTAAATCGCCATTGTTAACACCCCTCTGCCAGCGTTGCGTCGTAGGTGACGGTCTATTGGTTGCGCCTAAACTGAGTCTGCCAGACCACGCAGTAAGCAGAAAGCAGAAAACCCAAAATATGGCTATACTGCCAGGACAAACACAGCCTCTGCGTTAATATATAGGATGGCTGAGTGGCTAATTATAGTCGTCCGCTGGTCCAGTCCGTCCAGCCAATGGCGAAGTGAGAATTCATACCCACTCCACTGGCTGCATGCTGCTAAGCCGTGTTTGGTAAGCTTCGCCAGCGTACCCCAAGCTGTGGTACCGATGGTGAACTTGAGGATGCGTCATTTTCTGCACATGTACTTTTCATGTCTGGACGCATCCTGACAGTTAGAGAATCTGGGTAGCCCCAGCTTAACAACCTGACAAGCGATCAATTCAAATATATTATTCTTGTCTGCAACCTACGTCCTCCGATGTATACGAAAATCCGTACTCAGTTATTATCCAGGATTGAACGGAATCCAGACGTCTCACCATATGAACTCACGCAGGAATGTGAACGTATGCTGATATTGATAAATGATACGAAAATGGCCCACCGTTTCTACGAAACTTATGTGGTTGATCCACTTACTGTTATCAGATATAACGTGTCTTCACACAATTCAGCAAAGCTGTCCGGATTCGCTCTCCGAAGCCGCTCCGGCACTGTGGACTGCGACAACTAGTTTGATTTTCTCAGTTCAGACGATACACTTGCAAGCGAGTATGAAACAGGAGCAAAATTTCCGGCAAAATTCTCTGAAAGACAGCCACTGGACATCTTTAGAACCCCCAGCATTCGACATTGCTCTTCTTCTTTGCAAAAACTACTCTGTAATTTCAATCACCGCGGAATTACCTTACCCTCTGTTCGACTTCAATTTGGTGCTGCCCCAGATAGGCTTAGCAAACTCACGTGTGATCCAACTTCACAAATCGCTTGCGACACATACGCTATAGGGTTTAGATGGACAGTTCATATGCGAGCTTGCATTTCGTGACTCGCATGCCTGGGCCCTGTGCTATTTTCTACGTTCCGAGCACCTGAACTTATTTGGTATTGATTGGATATTTACGATTTATGGAATTTTTGAAAAATTGTGATAGCCCAGAGAATTGTTGTTGACACCACGCGGATTTTCCTTGTTCGGTTGCACCAGTAAGCTTTAAAAATAATGTAAACGCTGTATTGCATTTTGAGTCCAAATAACCCTATTTTTGGCACAGGGTCATGGAATGTGTTCTAAGATGATAGCCGTGCTGTATCCGCCACCCAGTTTACTCCCAATATTTTGTCCAAAGCAGCCGGTATCAAATGCTTCTGCTGAGGCAGAAGACTCAGCACTCGACCGACTTGAATCATTAGAGGTTATCAGTCTAGTGTTCTGTTCACAGTGGACTACTCTGAACAGAACAGATTTCGTTGTGTGTTGTTTTCCCTCCCAGCCAAACATCTTAGTAGTACATTAGCAGATATAGCAGACATGACAGCTTAACAGATGAGCTTTATGTGGAAAGATATGTGTTACATTAGGGTTCCCGTTATTCGCAAAGCATTTTATGAAAAAAGGTATCTGATCACCGTATCAAACAAGAATCAAGATATGACGTGTATTTATGACTCCAGATCATGAGAGAATTTTGGGTCATCAATTAAATCGACTCACCAGTCGTCCAGCTCGGTTATTATGTAAGTTCATTAACATCCGGGCCAGTTCCTCCGAGTATCGGGGATAACTCTTCTCCTTTTCTCTTACGTCGATGAATGTCTTCGCGAAGCGATATGCGTACGCAATATTATCTCCGCAGCCACCCCAAATCCAATCACGATGCAGCTGATCTGGACGGTCAGACTTGTTGCAGCCGCAGGAGTGGAGTCGCGCCTCTTTGCAACTCCGTGCGAGTGCATGCACGACACCAGCGGCTGAGATTGCGTGTGCAAAACTCGCCTCTCGGCTACCTAGATTTCGAATTAAGATAATCGTTTTATAATTCATAGAAAACAACTTCCAAATGCCCATGGGAATAAGTAAATTGTCATTGTTGGTTTGCTCCTCGAAGTAAAAGAACTATTATCAATAACAACTGAAGGAGTTGTAGCTTCAAAAGCAGGAATACCAATCACGCTGCTATTATGCATGATCCACTTATTCATTCTCATCATGAAAAACCAAAACAATGAGATAAAGCTCAAACGTTTTCCTCCCAAGCATGGTACATGCAGTACACTAACATAAGACTAGAGAAGCCGGAAAACAAAGTAGATGTGGTTCTATAGTCACACCGGTCAAACTGTATCACCTCAGAATTACTCAAACGTTGGCCACGAATTAGACAGAATATCAAACAGAAATGTTTGGTGGGTTACCAAGTAAGCCAGAATAAATGAATTAACAAAATACACCCATTTGCAGACAAATTTGGTTTTGCGAGAGACTCACCTGGAACCCAGGTAAATCCCTCATTTGTGAAGTTTTCAGGCAATTGAATATGCTGCGCCAGACCACCTCGTGTCCCAGTTGCTGCGATTTTCAGATATCACGATACATGTATATACGTAATGCATTACTCATAAGGTTGACGAATGATTTTCAGCAACCCTTTGAGTAGTGCACTACGTATATGCAAAACAAATGAATTTAAAATGTGTCCACTTGGTCAAGCGGTGACGTACTTAGGCCAGAAAACAGATCATTGAGCAACTGGGTTGACATCTTGCTAGTCCGTATTCACAGCAACAGCGAAAGTACATCCATGTAGGTAGAGAGCTAGTGCCCTTGCTGAGCAGAGCGGAATGCTGAGAATATGTGATTGACCTTATTTTAAATAATTATGTAGCGCGATCGTGGAAGTGTTTTCACAGGCGTCATTCTAGCTGGCAGTAATACTGTGGATCAGAGACATATTCTGCTGTCCCTGTTGAAACAGTTCCGGTGGTTCTCACTCTGATAATAAAATGACGACACTACTACACTAGCTTACGGAATGACAATCTATCGAACGGACTGCTTCATTCAGCCCGTCCACCCGGTCCTGAGGCACAGGATTATATAGTCAAAGAACTTCGATAAAAAGCTAAAAGGAATTACTCCAGTATTACTCATAACGTTGATGAAAAGCTGTGAACTGCCCACTGCCGTACATTAGCATGGCTAAACCTGGACAACAATTTCCTTCTGTGGCAACGTTTACTCGGTGAGCTCCAGTACAATCCTCTAGTTGCATTGACTGAAGGATGTGCCAGACTGTTCCATAATTTGCTGAAATTTTGAACGAAACTGTCCATCCGATAATACTGAAAGTGAGTGATAAAGTTCTGAGGATCGGTTGTTTGATTCTTCTGCTAGAAATTTATTCACACCTGGAGGAGTTCAAAATAGGGATAACTTGTAGCTCAAGGATATGCAGGAATTTGATTTCTGACACTCCACTTTTTCTGTATTTCCGCTGACGCTCATCAGGTGAGACTAACAGAAAAACCTCAGTGAGACATTTATAAGATCGCTAATAGTTTACTAAGACCCTCCGAAGATAAAAAAAAGTTCATCGTTCAGCTGTAACACCCTTCCGGTGCCTAGCTGCCATGCCACTCGAAGAAAGCACTAGGGCTCGGATACTGCCAGGCTGCTCAAACTTAGACAGTCGAAGTCGAGAGGCAAAGGTCGGGTTCGAACCGCGGACCTTTCGACCAGTAAATTTGTACTCTAACCACTGGGCCATCCCGCCTCCAAGACCCTCAGAATTACTGATCAAATGACTGCTGAATGAACACCACCAGGTGAACCTATGTAGGGAATAGTGCTGCGTAGATGTTTGGATGACAGATAAGGCAGGGTTGTTTTTTTGAGCCGTCATTCTCCAGGAACTTGAAGCTAGCCGAGACCACTGTACGCCTTAGATAAACGAACAGTTAAACGTAGCATTATGGGCAGCATGGAAACTTTTTGATGGTATTATTAACCATGACCCTTTTACTCTTTCTTCTCAGCCCAAATAATACCGTTAACAAGTACTTCAGTTCGATACACGCTTCAGTAGGATGCAAGTGAAGGTCGTCTTCAGCCAATACCCATTAGGTTAATTTATGTTCATTAGGTCAAGTCTTTCGATATCACAGATGGTAAACAAAGCCCCGGTACGCTTGTGTGTAGCAACCGTGTGTCAGTCAGACTCAGCATCGATGTCAACTCCACATTCACAACCATTAGATGGTGGCTTTGATTAGATTTTATCGGATTCGGTCGGAAATCTGTTCGGTCTCAAGGAACGACTAGTTAAGGTACTATTGTCTGCTATCACTAACAACAATGGACGAGAAAAAGTGAATGCGTCAGAATGGATGGACCCTCACCTCTCTAGCTCCAGCTGGTCCAACAAGATGGAGAAGCCTTTTGTGACATACGGTTTATGCCTGGTTGTGTACCCTGTTCAGTCGTTGCTGAGTCGTTGCTTCCACTCTGTATGGAGAACACTTAAACTAGGATCCTGAAACTTGCTGAGGTTAGTCACTCATTCTATCTGGCTTCACTGTTTCGTTCAAGGCAATTTCAGAGCACTATGTTCAGCACCTGCTGTATATAGCATGAAGCCAAAGTTGTTAGCTGCATTGTTTTGGGTGAAAGAGGTATAAACTGATCCTTGAATACATCATACATACAAAACAGAACTCCAAAATATTTACCCAGTTCCGTTGCCGAAGTAAACTGATAGTCATGGACTGATGGAATTAAATTGCAATGTGCTTAAACACTGCAACTTCCAGCAATAATATCTCATTTCCTCATCGAAACCCGGGCATATTTCAAGTGTACAAATATCAAGTTTATCCACTTCTATGCAATTGAATGTCAATCGTCCGTCACACCAGCATCCTTCCACCGTTCATTCAAAGCCAGCGAGGGCCAGCCGGCACGAATGTTATACAGTGCGTAAGTTTATTTGACTGTGCAGGGAGGTCGATTGGGATGGCAGGATATGGTAGATACATTCGCCTCTTTCATGTCACATGGCCCTAATGTGAAAGTTAACATGTTATCCTTTGCTGATAAAGCGCTTACTAGAGCGAACGGCAGGCAAGCCAATTTCGGTCAATATTTCGATAGTGTAACAGTCCGACTTTGGCGTCCAGTGCAAAACTCGGTGGTATAGCAGCGAGAAACTATTGCTTTCACATTCACCTTTGGGTCATTCGAACACAGCATACAATGGATCCATTTTCGTGTGTACTGAAAACCACAGTTTAGAACCCTCACTCAAAGTAGGTGTGTGAAGGGGTCTAGGAAGACAAGTGACCGGATAATAGCTGAAATTCCTCCCCCTTGAGCGCACTCCGGCAGTTATTTAAGATGTGACTGAATTGATTCAGAACACATTTTCATTCCCCACGAAATACTCGGTATATGCAACCCGCTTACTTCATTTTGCGAACGTACATCAGGCCAGAGCTCAATGGTGGGTTTCCCTAACATTCGAAGGGTCCCCCTGAATGGACCTAGGAGCATGCACATGCACGGAAGCCAACATAACCTCCCCGAGTTTGCGCGTCCAATTCATGGTTCCATACTTACTACGAGTACCTCGAGGTGAAAGCAGTTGCTGGAGGCAGCTGTAACGCAACGAAACATTATGATCACTATGGCTCCCTGCTCAGCAATAGCCGAGATCTTGCGTCATGCTTGGACGGTGATTTTTTGCATTCCAGGTAGGATCGGGTATCATCTACGACGGTGGCTGCCAACTTGGCGGTTGCAAATCTATTTCAGCGAGGCTGCGGAGGGTTCCTTTGGGTTATCGTGGTCTATTTGGAAAATATAAGAGAATACGGAACTTACTTGTGCAGCCATCTCGTGGAGTTTCGGTCCCACTGGTGTCTTCACTCTCATACGGGTGCGCTTTATGTACCATGAATGAAAATAGAACATCTGAACCCCGTCCCATTGGTTTTTCCTGATTGAAATCAGTCAACGAACGAGAGTGGTGTGGCTATGAACAGAATGAAATCAGTCAGCAGATCATGCGTAACAGTTGCGCGACTGGCTTTCCTGTTGTTGAAGTTGATGGTTCTGTTTCTACGTTTATCACTGTGAGGCGTGAAGTTACCAAATCCGTTGTTGCGTCGGTAGAATATCTGACTGAATTTTCAGCTCGAAACAAAAATGAAACAACTCCCTCTTTATCTAGCAAAAATGGTCCCAGCAACGTCGATGAGTCACTCAGGTCCGTCGTCAAAATTCCGAAATAAATCAACCTGCGTCGTAGGGTTCATATACTGTATGTGAACAACAATAACGCTGATTAATTCTGCTATCTAAACAAATACAAACAGTATCTGTGTCGCCAGTTAGAGTTATTTTTATCCACAAGCGCAATAAAAAGTGTATTTTCGACGTAAAGTGAACGTTGTGTAGAAGAAACAGCAGCCAGATTTCAACCAGCTTTACAAGGTAAGACAGACATTTGAGACGTAGACCTTTCGCTGATTTTACTTGAATAAATTAACTTGCAAGATGGACTTGGGGAAATTATATATATGTTGCATCGTGACTGGGTACACCTGGACTGAATCTGTCATACTACGTAGTAAGGATAAGGCAGAAAAGCCGGAACACTGCTGTACTGTCAGGACAAACATATAGAGCTTCTGCGTAAATATATAGTCTGTCTAAATGGCCAATTATGGTCATTCGCTTGTTTGTTCTCTCCAGCCAGTTGCGACGTTCCTGCCGTGAACATTTTCACACCCACTCCACTGGTTCGCATGCTATGAGCCGTGTTTAGTAGGCTCCGCCAACGCAACTGCTATCCGGAATCTGTGCTATCGATGGTGACCTCGGGAAGAACCCCTACAAAAATACCTACGGCCTAAAAAGACGGCGCCGAAACCCTCGCCCCGTATTCCTTACCGAACTCGATGAGCTTGAGATCAAGGGGGTTAACTAGATGGAACACCTGTGAATTTAA